TAGAGGTGAAATTGATAGATACAAAGCCAGACTTGTAGTTAAGGGCTACAACCAAAAAGAAAGTATTGATTACACAGACTTTCTCTCTAGTATCCACTAAAGATGCTTTAAGAGTGGTAATGGCTTTAGTTGCACAGTTTGATCTTGATCTTCACCAGATAGATGTCAAGACTACGTTCTTAAATGGTGATTTGTATGAAGTAGTCTACATGACACAACTTAATGGTTTTGTTGAATCTACTAAAGAACATCTAGTGTGCGGATTGAAGAGATCCATTTATAGGCTAAAACAGGCCTTTATGCAATGGTATTTGAAGTTTGATGAAGTTATCACCTCGCTTGATTTTATTGAGAATGTCTCAGATCAGTGTATCTATCAGAAGTTTGATGGGAAAAATTTTGCCATTCTTGTTCTCTATGTTGATGATATCTTATTAGCCAGCAATTCAATGGATTTTCTCAATAAGATAAAACACCTATTGTCTAGGCATTTTGACATGAAGGATATAGGTGAAGTCTCCTTCATTCTTGGGATACAGATTCATCGTGATAGATTTCGTGGTATTCTTGGTTTATCACAAACCACCTATATTGAGCGAGTACTTAAGAAATTCAGAATGGATTCATGTTCTCCCTTACCTGCTCCTATATAGAAAAGTGAACTATTATCAGAGTTACAGTGTTCCAAGGATGATAAGAAGAGGGCTGAAATGAGAAAGATACCATACGCTTTTGCTGTTAGCAGCCTTATGTATGTTCAAGTATGTACTTGGCTAGATATAGCCTTTGCTATTGGAATGCTAAGTCGATCCTTAAATGATTTGAGTCTAGATTATTAGAAGGCTGCTAAGAAAGTTATGAGGTATCTTCAAGGTACAAAAAATTATATGTTGACCTACAGAAGGTCAAATTCTCTTGAGGTTATTAGGTATTCTAATTATGACTTTGAGATATCAGAAGATCTTGAAATTGTTGGCTTTTTAGATTCAAATTTTACCTCCTGTCTAGATGACCAAGCTATATTTTCATGTTGTCTGGAGGAGTTTCTTAGAAAAGTGCGAAACAAATACTTCCAGCAGTTTCATTTATGGAAGCTGAGTATATTGCTTGTTTTGAAACTACACGTTAAGCTATATGGCTGAAAAATTTGATATCTGGCATGTGCCTAGTTGAGTCAATATCACATTCTCTAATCATTTACTGTGATAACAAATCTGCAGTATACTATACTAATAACCATAGAAATTCCAGTCATACAAAGCATTTTGATATCAAACTTATGTTTGTGAAAGAGAAAATTGCTAAGTCTTAAACTCGTGTGCACCACATTCTTAGCACGCAGATGCTTGCAGATCCGCTGACCAAGGGCTTACCTGTAAAAGTTTTTTAAAATCATGTAACTTGTATGGGTATTGTGAATTCTTTTGATGCCTTAGTTTAATGGGAGTCTGAGAATCTTTTGTATTGCAATTTCTCTTTAGGCTTTGTTTTCTTCTGTGAGTTATGTTTAGTTTAGTTAGATGCATCTATATCATTTATATCCCCCATAGGATTCAATGATTCTATTATGGTACGTTATGCATGTCACTTGTTTCCCCATAGGAATAAGTGATTTATGCTGTTATCTTATTGAGCTGTGTTAGAATAAAATTTTATATTTTATTCAGATTATGAGACATTATATCACTTGTTTCCCATAGGATCCAGTGATTTTATGAAGTTTTATTTTTTGAATTTTGTTTGTGGCTTATTTATATATCTTGCTTAATTAATGCAATTCAAGTGGGAGATTGTTGAAATATTTATTTATGGATTAACATTAATTAATAAACTCAAACAGATTGGTCTTTATGATCTTGTGTGAACCGTAATAGGTGAACCACATAAATGAGCCAAATGGACAGAGGCTCAATCCACAACCCAGTAGCCATCAGTTATTCTCTATTTCTTAATTGACTGAGTCAGAGATAATGGAATATAATTATTTAATTATTTAATGAAGCAGTTACTGATCTAATTCTTATAAGTCAATCAGTCGATAACCACTAAACACACGATACATTTTTTTCTACTCCATTATCTCTACACTCTCTAAAGACTTTGGGATTTAGTGGGTTGTGCGTCTGTCTACACTCGAGGTGATCGAAGTATCTCTAGCAAGTGGTTATGGATTCTTCATGTACGCATACATTATTATACTTGTCATATGAATTGAGATATATAATTAACATAAAGAAGTTAATGCTCGCTGGTTTGTCGGAGAGATACAATAAGAATATGGAAACCCCAGACGACATCTTCAAAGACACTCACAAGGATCTGATGAGAAGCGACGGAGAGTGGGTGGCTAAAACCTCACAATCATGTTCTGTAGTGTCCACCCTAGTAGCATCTGTGGCCTTCGCCACGTGTGACGCTGTGCCGGGTGGTTACGATAGCAGTAATGGCTACGCAATCCTTAGAAATAATAGAATATTCACATGTTTTGCGAGCTCCTCATATGTGGCCCTTTCCTTCTCCCTCGTGTCCTCCATCTGCTTCCTGTCTATAGTTGCTTCTCGTTCCCAATCAGTCAGCTCTTGGAAATACCTTCCTTTCAAACTTTACTTTAGTATGCACTTCATGTTCGTCTCCATTCTATTCTTGTGGATCTCTTTCTGTGCTGGTCTTTTCTTCTTGCACGACAGCTGCTCTTCTATGTTATTATATTCGTCCGTCATCGATAATCATCCTTTTGCTCGTCATACAGCTCCCCACATTCATTGTTCCCGCATTGTCTAGCCTGAGGCTGATTCCAGGCCCTAGACGCAAGACCACCCCTCCCATCGTGTTCCGGTAGTATGATAATTTTATTAAGTGCATGTCTCATTATTTAGTGCTATAAATTAAAGTACTATGATAATTTACTTGCGTCTTGGCGTTATTGCCAATATCGGTTATTCAATAATTACCGGTAGCTGGTCAAATTGTAGTTGGTTTTTACAAGGGTAGTCCGTTGGCCGCATTTATTTATAATTAATTTTTAGAACTTAATTCACATTAATTTTCTTTTAATGTACTTATTTATAATTTTTTAAACTTTTTTCTGTAATTTTCTTGGTTGGTTGATGGTCAAAATAATGAAGGTTTAATGGAGGAAAATATTGCACACAATTTTTAATACTTCAAGTACGACATTATACCACTTGATAATAAATAATTAAAAATATTATATTTATTTGAAAAATATCTTTATTAAAATTGTAAGCAGAGTAGGAATCATACTTGTTATGTCGCAAACTTCAATCTTCACACAGGAATTAATGGAATTACACTTTGAAACTCGATTTTGGCTACACAACAAATACATTTGAAAAAAAAAAAAAAACTGGGGGAGAGAGAGAAGAGAGAGCACTTAAAAAATGGATGCACACAAATGTCTCAAGAATGAGAAAAATGGTTCAGACAACTCTCAAATAGCCTTCACGCCTGAATGAAAAACTAGGCAACGTGTGCATGCGGTTAAACCCCCACACATTTTCAAGTAACAGGAGACAATTGCACTTAAGATCCCAGATATATTACTTGTGATGACCCAGAGTTTTTTCAACATTGTGATAAGGCCTCATTCCACAATTGGGTTTATTTATGATCTTGATCCACCGAAGGTGGATAAACCAACAAAAATATGAAAGAATTGATTATTATTATTATTATTATTATTATTATTATTATAAATCTTCTAAATTTATATTTAAAACCCTTTTAAAATTGGAATATCTTTAACAGAGCCAGCAAGTAGATTCATGAAATTTATATTATTTATCCTTTATCATGTGTTAAGGTAGTCAACACAAGATGAAGGCTACGCAAGTAAGGAATATCATGTGGGTTTAATCGATGCTATGAAACAAATTAAAGATGCAACATTGTTGTAAGGATTTATCTCTATCATTGTCAAGAAGGTTACAAGCTCTATCTTCCCCTGCCCTTTCTTTCTCTCGGCACTGCGCAAAAGGACTGAAATTTACACTTGACTTCTTTAGATTAATTAACAACAATATAACTGTCTCCATCCAAGATATCATCAAATGCAATCTGAATACATGAAATGAGTTATTGGTTATAAAATACATAGATTGAATTACAATGTGAATCCATTGTACCTGGAAACCTTATTCTCATCATCATAATCACAATCCTAAGGAATTCCAAAGACATTTCATCATATGCTTTCAGCTTGTCATGCAAGTTTGAATGGCGCACACTATCAATATTTAGATTCCATCGCAGGATATAAAGTGGTGGTTGATTCGGTAACAGCAACTAATCTCTCATTTTATTAATTATATGCGATGGAGAGAGATCGGTCAAAGTTTCATAACAAGGTAGCTGAAAGGGACAGTATGATTTTAAATTCTTTAGTTTTTGTAATTGGTCCTCTTGTTTTGTGCTCTTCTATAGTTTTAGTATTTGGTTCGTTTTTGTTTTTTCTTTTTCTTTTGGAGGGACCTTTTTGATCACATTCCCCGAGTTCTCTCTCTCTCTGTTTTTTTTTTAATGCCTGCAGAATTTTCATCTACGTATAATATTTTTTTATACAATACATAATAGAATATGTTTTTGGATTGGATGACTTCGATAACGTCTTTCCTTATGAGTATATATATGATAGACCATCTTGAATTCAACATCTAAATCAATAATCACTAATTAATCCCAACCTTGTCAAGATAATCATTAATCACCTCAATATATAAGCAATGTTAGCTCAGCAAGTACAAGTGATAATTATCCCAATAATTTAAGTGATCCAATGAATCAGTTGGTGATCATCATGTGCACAGCTTCTTGTCTTCTTGCCAATTCAAACTCGTGACTTCACTAGTGAAAGTAATTAGACACTTTACGAATGAGCCACAAGTTGGATTGGCATAATCATGAGCACCCCCAAGAAGTTAAATTATAAGTGAAGTCAAAGGCATAATTATCACGAAACTCAAAGTATACAGTACTGCATATGATAATGAAATAGTATAGTTATTACACACATATTTTTGCAAACAAAAAATAATAATAAAACTATCAAACCACACACATTTAAAATGAAAGTGATGATGGATGGTGTTGTTTGAACAACAGGACATATGCACTTAATTTCGGGGGTTCAAATCTGTTGCATGTTCCTTTTTCTTGGTCCTTCTATATCGGATGGCACCAACAGTCCCACGACTAGGGGCAGGAACCTTGGAAAACAAAGACATCAATGTAGGACCAATGAATATGGGTAGTAAGAGAATGATAAGAATGGCGATTGGAGAGCCAAGAACTCCGTAAGTTGTTGGAGAGTGATCGTCATGGAGCATGAGAGCGATCCACAATGAAAAAATGGAGCCAAACATGAATGACATGCCAATTTGAAGCATGAAAGGAATGTATCTCCAAATGCTAACAGATTGATAACGAGAAGCAAGTATTCCCAAGAAGGAGATGGTGGAAATGAGGGACAAGGCAAGGGCCACGAGATATAAGTTTGGAAAAGCTTTGAATCCAAACTTGTTTCTAAAGATTGACTTGCCCTTATCATTGGAACTTTCTACTACCATTGGAAATACTATCGACGAAACTAGAGTCGATACAACAGAACATGCTTGTGAGGTTTGATTCAACCACTCTCTGTCGCTTGTCATTAGTTCATTGTAACTGTCTTGAAAGATTTTGTCTGCGGTTTTCCCATCATTGTTGTACCTCTCCAACAAATCAGGAGGCATTGATTTCTTCACAAACTGCATCACCATTTTTATATATACACCTTTATTTTATCTAAGATTTTGAATCAATCTTTGAGGTCAAGTAATTTAAATAGTTTGGTAAGAGGTAATGAAACTATTGGTTGTCGATTTGGTTCCTGAAATTTAATAAATGTCAATCAAGTATCAAAAACATCATAATCATGTTACTCCTTATGGTTTGAAAACATATAATCTTAGACACACATATGGTGTACCTTTTAACTCATGAATTGTAGAAAGAATTTCTGGTCTAGTGAGATCAAATAAGATTATAAAATTATGCATGAAACTTTAGACACTCAATTGATAAAAATTTAAAAATTTAGAGAGCAAAGTGATAGGTAAACTCGAGGAAGCAAAAAAAATCATTATTCCATTTGATAAAATGCACTTACCTTTTTTTTTTTACAAAAAGAAAAAAATATTTAATTATTTATTTAAATTGATGAGTATTTTAACTTTCCATTAGACCTGATTATGTGAAATAATTTTTTTTTTTTGGTATGAAGAATAGATCTTGCTAATAGCAGATATTTTCTCCTCTAGGTACTAAAAGGAAAAGGTTGATCCCTCCCAACTAAGTTGTTACATATACAAGGGCTGGGATTTAAATCTCCAACCACTTGTTTAAGTAACGAGAAATCCTGTGACTCACATAAACTTGAATTGGTAAGCCAAACAAATTTTAGTAGCAACTATATAAAAACGAACCTCAAACCACTTGAATTCCTCTATCATGGTAGTTGTTTGCATATTTAGGTTGGCACCATTCATGGCGGCCAAGTGCAATGCAGTGTTTCCGTCTTCATCCACTTGGCTAAAAGCACTATCGGGAATGGTTTCGTCCTTTTGATCCGATAGAAACTGATATAACTTGGTCTGCCTATTTTCTGCTGCTAGTAGAACAATGTTCTTCTTCTCACCATTCACATCTTTAATCCTCGACGGAAATAATTCCACAATCCTCTCCACCATTTCTGTCGCACCATTCCTCGCAGCAATCATTAGGGGTGTCTCAACTATTATAGATCCTGGCTCTGTCCAATCATTCTCAGTCCAAAGAGAAAATTGGCTATAAGGATAAAAAAACTTAAATATTTAGGCATAAGTCCCAACTTCAAAAATAAAGCTTGCTCAGGACGATAGTACTTGAAGAGTTGAGGGACAAAATATATATTTTTATTTTCAACGAAAGCATCAAAATACCCTTCATTCTTCTGCATTCGCCTCTAGAGTACAAATTATTGAAGATTTATGGATGACTTCAAAAGATCAGTGCAGAAAAAGGAAGAATATTTTGTTATTTTGTTCAAAAATATATTCACGCTAGGACCATGGTCCGATCACCTGCAAGTTTTAATTATGCATTTAGGACTACTTAATTATGCCCAAATATTTTGGCCTTATGGTTCTTGTGGCCAATTTTCCCCAGTCCAAATCACAAAATTAGATTGTCATTGTTACATCTTCAATCAAGAAATTTCATGGAAACTAGCTCAATTCTTGCTACAAGCATGTAACTATCCAAATTAATACTCTGTCTGGTACTAATTATAGAGCAAAGTCAACTAATTATAAGATTCTTAAAGATTTGTAATTAATATTCTCAAATTTGTAAAAACATGAAAAATGTTCCAATAAAATTAATGAGTATAATAAAATATTGTCAGAGAATTAAAAGCGCAATTACCAACAACTTGTTGCAATTAAAGAATGGGAAGACATTTTTCTTAATATTATATTTTTGGAGTTTTTCTTCCTCTCTATTTTTTCCCTCATCTGAATGAAAGGTAAGTGATCCAATAGTGAAGGTGAAGAACGACTACTGCTCCTAAGATGTCTAGTTTCATATGTATAAAATAAAATCATAATGCTTTGATTACCACTGTCGTCATGTTTTATCTTTAACATTTCTTCATCGGAGACATGCTCAAGAAGTCCATTCATTATTTGACCATACCATTCGTGCTCCTCCTTCATTTTTCGTATGTCACGAAGCCATTCCCCTAGGAATCAGAACCGTTAGGTTAGTAGAGACGAAACGTTTTCAAAAAATAATGGAGAATTTTTTAAATAATTAAAAAAAATATGTTCATTTCTTTCAATATATAGTTTCACTAAATAAATACTCGATCGTAAGATTATAGCTGACAACTCATTGCTCATGTATGCAACACACAATGCATATATAGATCAGTTAGCAACTTTATACACACACATGCGCGCGCGCATGCGTGACTTTAATCACTTCAACTCAAAATATCAAACAAAAAATTGTATGTAAATTCAGACAATTGAGTAATACACCAAAATTGTCATGCTCTCTTTGTTTGGCATAAACCTTCAGGAAGAATGATAGTAATTAAGTCCCAAAAAAAAAGAATTAATGATAATCAAGTCCGCAACAAAAATTTCTGAAAAATAAGTTGTAAAAGATTTAAAAAATTGCAACTTCAAGAATTTCGATTACAATTAAGACATTTCTAAATATAACAATCACTTTGTGATTATTTACAACTTATTTTTTAAAAAAATTTGTCAAAGACCCAACTGTCATTAATTAATTAATGTATTGTCATTCTACCAAACATTTTCAATGGGAATAGTGGTAGATATAGAGATATAGAATATAAATCACATCTCTATGTGCATATATGCATGCATGATTTTCATTTTATAAAGCATGTACATGCATGTATGCTAATTTTATATGCACACCGACAAGATATGTACTGCAAATATGAGTCACAGGATTTATTAGTTGCGTACCTGCTAATAAAAATAAAAACAGGAGGTACACTGGGAGGACTACAGGAGCGAACATTATATACCCCAACAGGACCAAAGCACTCTTCACCCAACGGTTATCAAATACTGCAAATATGAGTCACAAGATTTATTAGTTGCGATACATGTATGAATAAACCATATACCACTCGACTCCCAATCGTCAATTAATCATTTACATTCCCCATGTAAATCTTTCTAATAATTTCTTGGTAGAATATTAATGAAGGATCTCTAAAAGAATTTAATATCTGAGAAGGACCTGGATAGATCGGAAACTTGTTAAAAACTTGAACCTCACTTATTAATTGTGAATGTTTACTTGTTGGAAGTCCTTGCTAGATATTAAATTCTTTCAATGCTTCAATGATATTCTGCCTAATTTTTTTTTATTTATGTCAAATTGAAAGAAAGATATAAGCTAAGGAGAGAAGAAAATATTCATAATGGAGAGTGACTCGACTAAACCCTATTTAAACGAACTAAATCCAAACTATATATAATTTTTTTAATAAAACAAGTACCTTTTTTTTCCTTTTGTTTTTCTAAAAGAATACTCTTATTTGCTTTGTATGATTTATCCTTTTGTGTCCCAAACTCCACCAGATTGGTGGTCCCTCCATTTGTTTGTGATTCATTTGTGTATTTTTGTCTCTCTTGTTGTAAAAGGTAAAAATGTACCTTTTTTTCTTTTTTTTAGTTTTTGATGTGCTGCTATATTATAATTCCCAATTAGGGCTTGATGTAATCTATTTGAGATTAATTCTATGAAACTTTTTTAACAGCTTTTGTTTTTAATTTCAATTTCATGATTATTTATTTATATTTCTTTTAAATTATATTGATCTCTCTTATATATCATGTGAATTTTGCGATTGGCCACCAAAATATATTTAATTAAAAGGTACATTCAACAGACCGAGAGGTGAAGAGTGAATCTAGATTTAAAGAAATAAACTAAGATAACTGAATTGCATATAGATTTAGGAGTTCATGGTGACTTGCATTATAACTTCAATTCATGATTTTTAGTTAGGACTTTGGATAATATTCCACGAGAATGAATTGATTCAATCTTAATTGGAGAAAATAAAATTAAACCACCTTTTGTGCGAGAGGTACTTACCAATAGAAGAGCAGGATTCTAAACAAGAGAGTAAATCGTCGAGTGATGCTCTTTCACGTTTTTTCAATTTTTCCATCGCCGTCGCACCCTCCTTCTTTTTAACACTAAAAAGCCCTTCCAAGTTTCCAAGAAACAAACTAACCATATTATATATTCATGTACAATTTTGTAGATATAACTAGAAGCATCATGATATGAACAGGCAATCTTGGTATCTTTCTCCTATATTTAAAACCAAATAATACTATAAAAAATGATTTTTGATGGGGATAATATTTACAATTTATTTTTTATTTTAAATTAATTTTCCTAACAAAAATAATATTTAGTTAAAAAACATAATATAAATAGTCATATAAATATAAAATATAATTATATGTGTACTTTTTTAATAATATATCATTTGAATATGTGTGTGGTTAAATTAAAGGTACATTTCAGCTGATCAACTAGAAAGGAAGAAGATTCAAAAGCTTTGAGCAACAAGTCAAAGGTTCAAATGTTGGCCTTGACACAAATACAATGAACAAGTGACATAGCGGTGGGGTGGGTGATTGGTCATGCATGGGGTAACCATTATATATTTTTTTCAGGAACAATTTTTGGTGACAACAAATATCAGCGTTGGGTTTTAAAACTTTATTCTATAATTAGAATTGGAGGGAATATTCCTCAAGAGCACTTACGATAAGCAAGATGAACAGTGAAAAATCGACCATGGAGAGCAGTACTTTTGAAAGCTGAAGGCGTGACTGCTAGGAGATGCAGTGGAGATAACCCATTATCGTTGCGCTTCATCTCTTTCGACTTCACAAGATCTTCATAAAGGTGAAATATTTCCATTGCTATATCTGCCAAATCAAAGTAAATTAAATCACTTAACTTAAACACAGATATTAACATACGAAAAGAAAGAATATAATCCAATATTAGTTCCGATTTATTTATTTACCTATACACCCTTTTTCAATTGCACAATGAAGAATGGTATCATTGTTGTCCCTTGTGCAGTTGGCATATTTTGTTGCAGAAGAATCTGCATAGCTCTCCGTGTAAAGATAATGAAGCCAAAGAAAAGCTTGCTTGTTGCCATGGAGAACTGCCACGAAGAGCGGCGTCTCGCCAGCGAAGTTCCGGTCACTCAGTAAGGAGGGCTCTCTTTTACCGATCTTCTTGCAAACTTTAAGGTTCCCCACTCTAGCAGCTAAGTGTAGAACAGTGTTACCTTTCTTATTCTTTGCCCCAAACACCTCCCTCGCGTAGCTTATTATTGCTCCATCTTCAACCTTGTCTTTCAGTACAGTTTTCTCTTCTTCTTCAAGTATGAAGGATACCATTTTTGACGCCGCCCAGTGCACATCTTTAGCCAAAGCCACGTGTAACGCTGTATCTCCTTTTTCTGTTATCTTCTCCGTGCGAAGCTCTCTTTCTTTCTTGTATGTTTCCAGTACGTCGTACCACTTGCCTTCCCTAGCATCCCTACGTAGTTTCTCCACTTTTTCCTTCTTCTGGACGCCATCTGACGAACTCATTGTGTCTTGCAAATTAAATCTGAAGGTTATAGTTATGGAAATTGGAGCATACCAAACTGGAAATAAACCCGTAAAGAAGTTCAATAAGAAGCTTGCAAGAGCAAACTAGAAAGACTAATTACTTCTTGGCTCAGTCACCAGACACTAATCAAATGAGGGGAGCATATTTAATGTTCTTGATAATTCATAGATTGGCACCGTCTTGAAGAGAAAGACTTGCTTTTTGGGTCATCAAAAGACATAGCTCAATAAACAAAACAAGACAAAAAGTAGGCCCCTCACTGATTCTGATCCACCAACTAGCAAGTGATTAATTGAGGCTCATATCATTACTTTGCTACCACTTGAAAATTGAGTGATGTATTGTTATTGTGGAGATAAACTGGTGGCTAATTAATTCTGTATTATTCATGGAAAAAGATGAAGCCGTGATGATCAGGAATATTGTTATTGTGGAGAAGGCAAAGAAGTTCGATGAGTACAAGGTCGGAATTGAGGAGGATAATGAGGCCAAGTATGGTTCTGTTGAATAGAAATGACAAGGGGATGTGACTATAGGACTTTTAACTGTTATAGTAAAAGAGATTCTGGTACGGCCAACTAATCTTTCATTTTATCATGTTTCCTTGCTGCGCAGACAAGACATTGTGGTGGGCCTGTGGCATAAGTGATGCTAAAGAGAGATCGATTAAACTTTAATCATTAAAGTTTCATAATATAATGAGGTACGTGAAAGGAATTGTCTTTTGGTTGTTCTTTTTATGCTCTTTTGAAGATCCTATGAAGATCGCAGAAAAAAGGAGACCAATTGCAAAATAGGAAGACCATTCACGTGAAATGAGGAGGGGAAAGGGGAAGAGAGAGAAGGAGAGAGAAGAGGGAAGGGTAAAAAAATATACAATTCTTTTTTCAATTAATAATCCAATCGGATTTTGACCAAAAAATATAATAATAATCCAATCAATTGGATTTGAATCACAAGATAGGCCCAAATTTACTAAATATAATTGTTTGATTTTACCAACTTCTAAAAAATTTCAAGATATATTTTTTTATAAAAATTCACAATAATCCTCACATACAATATGCCATTCAAAAAACTCAAAATAAACCCCTGACCATTAAAACACCTCTTTCTCCACCACCAAAATCCAAGCCACCATCAACAACTGAAAAATTCAAAGGGATTGAAGATCTCTCAAATCCCCTAGGCACTATTGCTTCTATTAGAAATGTTTTCTTTGACTAGATCTTCTTTGAACAAAATAATACAGACTCAATTGCTTCAATTAAAACCTCTAGAAGTATATAAATTCTGAAGAAGATCAACACCTAGTAGATTTATCAAAAATTTCAATGGTTGAGCCTTAGCCTCAACTACAGCTAAAACAAAAATAATTGTAGAAGATTTTCCTAATGAAGAAGCATCCTTATATAGACAAGATGAGGAAGATCAAGACAAGACTTTCATGGTTATCAAAAAAATAAAAATGAACGGTCATCACATGCACACCTATTTTAGACATACATGACTTAAAGTAAAAGTAAAGATAGATGATATGATTAAAAGTTAACTGCTTTATTCAAAAGTCAAAAGTGAGTTTTGACAAAGTTTATTATAAGACAGACTTAATAAAAGAAGATGTGACTCAAAGCAGATTCCTTTCTTAAAAAGTACAATTTAATCGAATGTTGATAAAATTCAATTATTGTAATTAAAACACTCGAGTGAGTGAATTTGAGTCACTCATCGAATTTAAATCCCAATCAAAGAGTATAATTAGAAGTACATAAAAAAAAAGAGTATAATTAGAAGCTCCAAGGTTATTAAAATCTAAATATTAATCCTAAAAGGATGATGATAAGCAAATTAAATTAAATCTTTATAAACCTAAGCGATATTCTAAATGTCTAAATCCAAATTATATTTTATTTTATATTCCACCATTTTTCACTTGCTTAAGGAACTTTTCTATGGAGAGTTATCTCATATTCCGCCATTACCCATGATGTTTTGATCCGGAAATCATTTTGTGTTATAGCCCATAAATATTTTGTGGCGGAAATCGGATCACTGGGGCCCTGTCCATTTCATGTATGCTGCATGTCATATTTCCCAAACCCTAATGTATCTCCCAGCCAACCTTCTAATGAACCACTGTACCCCTGTTCGACGAATCACATCAACTCAATGATTTTTTTCCTCCTATACCAGCAACAGGTGAGCATATTCATTAAAAACATGATCCAGTTACTTGCGGTTTAAGATTATTGCGAAATAATTAACCACTCGGGCGAGTCTTTATTGGTCTTCATTATTTCTGCATACATGTACTTCTGTTTGGTTAGTATCTAATCATAACTGGGCTCAATGACCAGTGAATTGCCGACAGGGCTCATTCAATTCACACACCACTAATAACGTTTGCAGGAATGAGTGTGCTAAAATTCGGAAACCAGTCCAGTAAAGTAAGGGCAGGCATGTCCAACTTATTAATTCAAGTCTATTGAAATAAGTAATGACAACAATAACAATTAAGCACTTCAGGTAGAAGGCGAGGACGTATCAAAACTTTTTGGAAGATTACAACTGCTAAAAAAAAAAACAATTGCATGACTTCCTTAAACATGTCACACTTCGTCGCTGATGTGCAAGTTTTGTTGTTTAAGCTCTGCCTCAGTTTTACACAACAGGGTTCCCTCCCCCCTCTTTTGTCTGCTCTCCTTTCTACTTTTCTTAAAAGTCATGTTTCAGGTTCGAACTCTCCCACTGCCAGAAAATGGTTATTTTCCCTTTTGCCATTAGTCTGAAGAAAATTACTAATATGCCCTTATAACATTTTGTTTTATTCCTCCTGCCTGGTTCAATTTTTCGTTTGATCGAACATTCAGTTGAGGGAGCAAGTGAGATTTTGTCCCGAAGCTTCGCCTACCCTTCTCCAATCCATGGTCTCTCTGCCATTCGAAGTTGCTGCCGTTGCCGGAGTAGAGGTGCGCCGTAGATTTCTGCCAAATGCAAAACTCCTTTTCCTCCTCCTTTGATCCTGTTCAGAGTTGCAGAGAGGGCCAAAAATCGAAACTCATCTGCGTCTCCTTCAACTTTCGTTTGTAGTTCAGGCCACCACTCTCCTTCCTCCTTTCCGTTCATCTACTGCTGGCAACTGTGGGAGTCATCGTCCGTCCGCTGCTGTGGTTGTTCCGTAAGCTTGTGGTCTTCCTCCTCCATTCTTATTATTGCTGATTTTTCCTCTGTCGTTCATGTCGTACTGTGGGTGTTTCGATTCCCTTCTCCTTCATTCCTTCTGTGTGTTGCTGGTGGGTACGCAGGCGCTGTTTCTATTGCCATAGGTGATTCAATTTGTTGGTTCTTCCTCCTTCCCCCTACTCAGCCACCGGTCTGCTCTGCTTCAAGAGTAGGCGCAGAAATTTCAGGTCGCTTCCTTTGTTTCTAGCTCTGGTTTCTTGGTGACTTGAACCCCATCTCCCTTCTCTCCTTGTAATAGATATGCATGCTTGTGTGTGTTGATTGACTTGTTATGGAATTGATTCTTGAAGGGAATTTACTTATGTTAAAATAAGAAGATTTGGGATGCCTAGGGAAAAAAAATATTGAAGTATTGATAATTTATATTTGGGAAAAGATTTTGAAGTGGGAGGAATTTTGTATTATAATTTAAATAATGATGCATATAAGGTGTTTGCTAAAATGTTTAAAAGAAAAGTTTGGTTGGAATGGAGTAAATTAAGCATATTCATTTTATTAACGACTAAAATTTGGATTCAGATTGTTCGATCTCCATGTTGGATATTAATGTACGTATATCCATTGTGGTGAAAAACTTGGGCTATTGAAGTGAACTTGATGCTTGTTTAAAAAAAGAATGGTGGATTTTTTTTTTTTCAGATTTGATAATGTTAAGACAAATGATTAGTGATGATGATATATATATTAGTGGTTAAATTTCACTATTGCTTTGCACAAGAGGAAAGTGGGTTAAGCTATATTTTCTTTTAAAATTTGTTTATGAATTTGGATTGAGAATTTGCTCTTGGAGTTGTTGATTAGGTTCCTTAAATATTTTAATGAGTTTGGGTTGATGTTATGAAGTCTACAAGTGTGAGAAAAAGGACGTTTTACATGCATGTTTCAAACAAAATATATTCGTGAAGAATCATTGAAGAGCCTTAGTGATGAATCATTTATTGGTTATTAGGCGAACGTGGTTTGAGTACGATATGAGGTATCATTGTGAGCTAGAGAAAGAAATGAGATCTCTTTAAATATGGTAGTAGGGTCAGGGACAAATATTAATTGAGAAAACTTTGATAAGTTCTAAACAAGATAATGGGTTGATAAATTTTTGGTGGTTTATGAAGTAGAGATATCATTAAATAAATTTTTGATGGTTGTACTTACCCTACTATCTTCAATGTATTTTTTGAATTGTAAGTGTATTTTAGGCCTTAGGAGTTAGTTTACGAAATGTGATATCTATGATGGTGCCAAAATATTGATGTAAGTAAGAGTTGGGCATATTGTACCATGATTATGAATTATTTGATGGAAAGAGTGCTTGAACTCCCCTTTGTATGTTTTTAAGATTAAGGGTTGTATAGTAAAATTGTGAATTGTAAGTGTTTAGTATGATGTGGTGGTTGCACAAGTTAGTTTTGGTGTATTGCATGTGGTCTAAGTGATGTCAAAGGTTTTTGGCATTTGATTAATGAGTTGGACACTTAGTTTTACAAAAAAAAAGTTGAATAAATTCAAGTTTTGAAAAAAAGTGTCTAAATTTTGATTGTGTAATAATTTGATTATGAAACCAAAGCCATTAGTTAAAGCTTGGAAAGAGCTTCCGTATACACCTAGTTTGCATCGATCAGACGTCGGATGGAGGAATGGGGCACGTCGGAAGTTGCCCCAAAAGCTATCATTTGACAACAGAAAGCTATTGTCACGATGCATGGTGCCACGAGTCACGATGCATGGTGCCACGAGTCATGATGTATGGCACAAAAGCGAACATGTCGCATCACATGTTCAACGAGCCATGGCACATGCCCCAATTTTTGCAAAATTATTTTGTTTTCAATTTTTTTAGCAAATACACTATTATTTGAAATGATCGCATGCTTCCGCATAATTTGTGAACTTTGATTTGTTTCTTTTAAAGATTATTGAGAATGGTTTTAGTTTTGAAAACTTGAGATTCCAACTTTCCACTTAGTATAACTTGGTATTATGTTATTTACCTTAATCCAATGTCTTAATTGAAATTTAGAGTTAATTGTGTTTAGAGAAGGAGGATATTACAAATATAAATTATTTATAGTAGCCCAACTACACAAGAACCAAATCCACAAAATCTATATACAAGATCTGCACAACAATATAATCAAATCTACAGCAATACAAGAGTGTCGCTGGGCAACCAAGAACATTCTAAAGTCATATTATGTCAAGTGATCGCATAAATTGGTTTAGTACCTGCACGATCATGAAAAAATTGACACCACACATCACTCCTTTTCAACAGCCAATCTAGATATTGAAATACAAATTTAGATCATATGAAAATTACGTAAGCTTTGTAATGAGAAGAACACATAGAAAAGAGAAAACTATAAAAAAAGAAAAAAAAAAAGAGGAAGACTTTGTTCACCCTCATTTTCTCCTAATTTTTGAAGAGAAATTAAAGAAAAAAAACTTTATACAAGGTGGGACAATAATTTATTTGCAAATTTTAACATCTCCAATGTGTGTTACTGTTAATTTAGGGTGTGAACATTAAAGGGAAAGAATATTGAAGAACAAAAGTAAGTTAGCATACGAGCAGCCGTTGTGTAATGACCTTAAAAAAAAAACCCTCCTAATTTATATTTTATTTAAATTAATATTATGGCAAATGGAGATGGGTGAGTTAGTGAAACTTATGCTAATAGCTTACTTGAAGGTCTAACATTTAATTTTAAAAAAAATAGATTAATTTTATTTAGTTTAAGATTGTAAAAAAAAATTACCAAAATGTCCATATTTTTTTTATGTTATTAGAAGGAGTACTGGGCTCTCTCTTGTAATTTTAGCAATTTTCTAAAATTTATATTTATATCTTCCTTACCCGGTCAAATGCAGAGAAAAACGCGTCATTTTCTTTTCTTCTCCTCCTTCACATTTTCGAAGAATCCAGAACCACCGCCTCTGCTCTTCTTCGATCTCAGCTTGTCCACAACGTTCTCCATCCTTCCTCTTCAATCTTTAAAGGCACCGGCATGGGTTTATTAGAGAGCGCCGTTCATCGTTGCTGCCCCAAGTTTCTCCTCTTCCTTGTTCTTTCATCATTCAATTCGTCCCCTGCACTTGTGTTTGAGTTGGTTGCTGTCAGTTATTATTCCTCCTCTGCCAGGCAGCTTGTCGATGTAAACAGGTGCGACCGCTCTGTGCACCGCTGCTGGGAAATTTCACCGTGAGCTTTTCTTCCTCTGGTTGTCATTGTTTTCTGTCTATGTGCATCACTGTTCATTCTTCTTCCTCCTTGCTTTGTGCTATCGAAAATAGTTCTCCTCTCCTGTCCGAGCTGCTGTGGTTCAGTGTACAAGGTTCCTTTCCTCTTCCCCTCTACAGCGTGATAGATTCATCCTTCTTCCTTCTTTATTCTGCCGTGGTTAATATGAGGTGGGGAGATTCTAATCCTTCACTTCTTCATTGTTCGTTCTGTGCTCCTTGGTTTGATTGTCATGTCTTATTTATGTTATTGCTATTGTGCGAGTTATGAGGGGGAAAATTTGTTCGATCAACAGCTTGAGGTTATGAATTTGATTTTTTTTAGTTGATAAATCCATTCATGCTAGAACTGGAAGAAGGAGGAATTAGATTTAATTTTTTTTAAAGAGTAACTGATTTTTTTCAATTAAAGGATTGAAATTGGGTTGGTTGATTAATTTCAAAATCAATATTGTAATTTGTGGGAGATGAGAGGAAAAGGGAAGAGGCTTGGTATGAGTTTGAGAATTAATACATTATAAATGTTTGATAAAATGCCTGTTAGGAGAAGATTGCTTGAATATGTATTTTCTAAAATTTTATTGACTCTTAAGAGAAGTATGGCTAGTTTGAATGTTATTGATCCATGAACTTGAACCTTGCAAAGAAATTTGATTATGAAGTTAATATGTAAGTTGAATTCTTGGGAATGGTATAGTTGTTGATAAATTACTGAACAAGAGATTTAAGATTAGAAAGTTTTAATTGAATAATTGATAGTAATGCACCTAAGGTTATTGAGGCAAGCCTAAGAGATAATCATATTTTAAGTAAATAGATCGGTTTGGCTTGAGCAATATTGAAGAATTTATAGATATAAATGACGATAATTGGATATATTTTAAGAGATGAATTTTGGTATTTAGAATTTTGAAACGGTTGAAGTTGATTGGGATTGTATTAGAAGTGGAAAGAAGTTTTTTTATAGATTATAGGGAATTAATTAAAGTTTCAATTATTAATATTCTTATAGGATGTGCAAAAAAAGGGGGGATCTTGATAGAAGTTGAAAGGAGAAAACCTTTGAAATTTGAGAACATTGCAGGTAAGTGGATAGCGTCCCAACTGATTTTTTTTAAATTTTCTTTACTAAAATATTACATTATTTTTAAAATCATTTTAATAGCATTAATGTGATTATTGGATATTTGTTGATTAACATTTCTTTATGATTGAGAAATTAGCTTTACCAAATTTGAAATGTTATTTGATCAATTAAGTCAAGTTTGAACTTTGATTATGAGATTTTTATTTTATCAAATGTTGAATTGATACAGAGAATGATTCATGCGAGTTCGACGTTGAATTTTTTTCAATAAATGCAAGCATGAGCATCTGATATGAAATTTGATTCTGGCAGGTTTTAATGCCTAAAAGTATTCATGCGAGTTTGATTTTGAGAATGAGAACTGTATCTAAAAAGTGATAATTTTCTCGTATGTTTGAAAATGATTTTAAAAGGGGACTTTATATAGAACACTGGTTGCTAACGGCAGTTCCGTTAGCCCTTGGCGCGCCATGGTACACCTAGCTAGCAGGGTGTTTATAGGAGGTGCTAGCCCCGTGCGATGGCCAACGCACGTGGAACGGAGGGATGGTTATTCGTGAGCATCGTACTCACGTTTGTTTCGTGGCTTCGGCTGCGTTTGGTTACATACCCTCGTGGACTGTGTGTCCACGTTTGTTTCGTGGCTTCGGCTGCGTTTGGTTACATACCCTCGTGGACTGTGTGTCCACGTTTGTTTCGTGGCTTTGGCTGCATTTGGTTACTTACTCTCATGGATTGTGTGTCCACGTTTGTTTTCGTGGCAAGAGCCGCATTTGGTTATTTATCCTCGTGGACTTTGTGTCCACGTTTGTTAATTGTTCTGATAAGTCCCTATAATATGAATTTGATTATTTGATGATTTTACATTCCATTGGTTTTTAATTAGTGAATTATTTAGAATTATTTATTTTATTTATTTACTTTCTTACAATCAAGTGGTAATAATATTTGATATGATATTTTAATAGTTCAAGATTTTATTTAAACTTTATAAAATTATTTTATTTTTGAAGTTTATTAAATTTTTATGAAAATCGTTGTTTTTTTTAATTGCATTGCTTCAAACTCTCCTTTTATTCATGTTCAATTATTTATTGTTGGGACGTTATTCACTGGAAAAGATATTTTGGTCTCAGATGGTATAATTGAACTCGTGACTCGAGATATTCGCTGAGGAGTTTTATTGCTGAATTGAAGCAGAAGAATTATTTTAGTCAAATCCTAATTTGATGAAAAATTTGAACTTTATAACTACGTTGGTGTCTGACCTTAGGTGCTCCACATATACTACAGGTAGGATCCTTACATTTCTTTTAAAATTGAATATCTGATTTAATATTGTAACAATTTTTTTTATTTACTCTATTAGTATGTTTAATATATTAATTTCAGAGTTTCTCCGATCAAGGCTTAAGGGATATGAGCTTTGTACCCATATCCTGTGCCGGTCACACCTGATTTTTGGGGTGTGACACGTTGGCTGTGAAAACAAAAAAACATGAACAATTTTGGGACTGTTTGAAGCTGTTTTTATTTTATTATTTTAGAAACTGGTGTTTTGTAAAATATATTCTAAGAATAATAAAAATAGATATTTTTTTCATTTTCTCTTATTCTCCAGAATAATAATCTCAAAACTCTTAAAAGTTGTTTTCATTTTTCTGCTCTTCAGAGTAATATTTTATTTTATTTTTTTGTTCTCTAAAACACTTTTTGAAATCATGTTAAAAGAATAATTATCATAAAACTCAAAGTAATTAAAACCAAACCAAATTGCATTGCACACCAGTATGATCTTCAAATTCAATAACGAGTACATATTATATTATTGCAAACAAAGGAGAAAGAATAAACATCAAACGTCACACACATGCATCGCCTACAATTCAAACAAGCTTCCCAAATAAAAGTTTCAAATTTCTGGGATCAATCATTTCTCACAATCACAATCTTCACAAATTTTCACAAGTTTGGTAAGGGCATCACAACACAATTTTTTATCTTCTGGGGGCTTGGGTAATGCAGGGATGGTGTTGTGGCTTGGAACAGGAACCTTGGTTAAGCTAGTACTCAGAAGATTCCAGTACACTGGGAACTTTGTGATTGCATATATGGTGCCTGGGATTGAAGTGATGATGTAAATAAAAACATAAACTCGTCGTGCATGTTCGACGAGCAAGAAGGAATGACTAGCACAGAAAGATATCCACATACAAAGAATGGAGATGAACATGGTGGACATGGCAAGGAAGAGCCTCAAAGGCAGGCCTCTAACGAAGTTAATCGCGCGGTAACGAGCAGTAGTAACTATGGAGAGGAAGAGAATGGTGGCTATGATAGAGAAGCCAAGGGCCATGAGTGACATGCCCACAAAGAATTGGAATACTTGCTCTCCTACATGGTGTGGGGCGCCTTTGTCATTGAAATCGCCGGGCACGGTGGCGGCTGTGGCAAAGGCCACCGTCGCAATCAGCGTCGACACCAAAGAACATGCTCCTGAGGTTTCAGTTATCCACTTTTTGTCTCTTTAGATTGGGTCCCTGTGAGTTTCATCGAAGATGTCATCAGCGGTTTTCAACTTATTGTTGTATCTCGCGAACACACCACGCGGCATTGAATCTTTCACAAACTGCATCACCACATATATAAACCATGTTAATGTGTTTAACATTTTCAAACAGCTCCAGGTGGGTTAATCAAATATCAATCAATAATCTGTCATGACCAAATTAAACTGATCATGTGAAAATATATATTGAATTATCTATTGACAGTAAAGAGAAAGAAAATGACGAGAGAAACAGAATATTTGCAGAGGGAAGGGGAAGAACATACAAGAGAGAAGATCACTAAAATCATCCACACCCCTTTCCAAATAGCCATGTCTCTTGGTATATTGTGAGCACCTTGCTGGATTTGGATTCAGTCACTCAATAAATGCTTCACGTATATGATAATAACAGTTGGATTTAATAGAATGGTTGGAGAAGATTTTGTCATATAACATTCAAAGAGCACTAAATCTCAAATTTTTGAAGTGACGGTATATGTGAGGAGCATTTTAATAGTGAGGTTGTTATAAAATTTTGAAAAAAAAATATATTTTGATAATTTTCAAGTTTTGATGAAACTTAATAATTATAATTGAAACATTCATTGTATGAAAAGACTAAATCGAAATCCACCCTACTCCACTCACTTTCACATGCCCTTGTAACAACCCCATGATAATGATAATTAAGCACGTGCATTATACTATCCATTACCCATGATCTTCATTATCTCTTCATCATACATCATGACAATATCATGCATGTAAAATATACTGTAGCAACTTGCATTTTGTTTTTTTTGACGGAAGGCAACTTAACAGTTTGAGCAGTACAATTTTTCATGAGGTCACATTTGAAATGAAATGGAATAGATTGAAAGAATTAAAATAAAAATAAACTAAATCACTCTTCCTTCCATGAAAAACATGATAAAACTCATTAATATATACTACAAATGTGATAATCATCATATTCTTCAAAAATCTCATGAATAATGATTCCCAACCCATAACCTAAATTATCCCTCTACTTTGTGATAGTGGTCACCCATCTCCTTTTATCATCTTATTTTTATTTTTTCAATCTATTTCATTTCATTCTATTCTAGTAAACAAATATGACCTAAATTTATTTTACATAACCCCCTCCCTCCCCCCCCCCCAAAAAAAGAAAAAAGCTTACGTACCGCAAAACACTTGCGTTCCCATTGCATGAGAAGTACTTCCCCAGGAAAATCGGAATTACGATCACATCCATAACTGGCTGCCAAGTGCAATGCACTGTTTCCATCATTGTCCACTTGCTGAAACAGACTTCCAGTGAGGATTTTCTGTTTGCCCAAATAATTGTATACGTCGGTTTGCTTCTTTTCTGCTGCTAAATGGACTATGTTTTTTCCCTCATCATTCACTTCGCCAATGTTAGCGGTCGACGGGTATAGTTCCAGAATTTTCTTCACCATTTCAATCACGCCATTCTTCACGGCGATCATAAGAGGTGTCTCAATCTTTCGACCGTCTATTAAATCATTCAGAGCCGCACATACGTGCAAGTGACAAAGTTATATTATTGCAGTTTGAACTTCAGAGGGAAAAAAAAAATGCTAAAAGTAACTGTAACTACAAAGTCTACTTTTAACCGACCAGTTTTTAAACCTCAGTTAATTTCATTGATGATAGAAAGATGAGTTTGATATATACATGCGCGCGCGCACTAGATAGACAATAACCCTTTCAAACGGCCAGTCTTACCACCCAGCTAATTATTACTAGTTATTCAATCACTGAAAAGTAAAAATATATTTGAAAACTTTTTACCTTTGTTTACTGGCATAACTGAAACGGGATCATGCTGAAGTAGTTTTTCCATTATTTGAAAAGACAATGTGTTCTTCTCCTTCTTTTTCCGCACCACACTAAAGTCATGAATTATTCTGTCAGGTGGAAATAGTAGATATAGATATCCTAGCAGTGACAGACGGACAAAATATTTATCAGGCGAGGCAATATTTGAATAAATTTTGATATTTCGAAGAAAATATTGATTAAAGTAATATCTAAATAAATTATATGAAAAGTTTAAAAATATATATTAGTTTCGTTCGTATCATAAATTTACTTTTATAATAAATATAAGAGTAAATAATACTTTTAAGTATGCATACTTGATAATTTTAATGACAGTTCTCGATCCTTGAGGCCCACGATGAGCGACTCGCATTCGCGTTTCAGTTCATCCTTTGTCGTGGCATTCTCCTTCTTCTTAACTTCCAAAACTTGGAAGTTGCAAAGAAACAAAACAACGCATATCATTTATATTTATATATAACAGTGAATAATCAGGAGGACACGTACGGAGGAATTAAAAAAAAAAGTAAAGTAGATATATATATATATATATATATATATGTAACTGGATTTCCTTCATCAATGGACAACGGTACTTACAAGGATACGCGATATGTCCAAATGGTCGACCAAGGATGGTACCACCTTTGAAAGCTGAATGCTTTTCTGCCAGTAGATGGAGTGGAGACAACCCCTTGTCATTGAGACTCGTTGGTTTCGCGAGATCTTTATAAAGGTGAACTATTTCAATTGCCACATCTGCGCGAAAAATCATGAAGCAAACCCATCAAAAATAGCAAATTAAGATAGCAAGAACAGAAATATAACCACCTTAATTAAACTAGTCATAATAAATAGGAGATGGATCATGGATGACATAATTAGTTAATAATAGGAAAAATTATTCTGTAAGTCCCTCTGGTTTTTCTTATTTTTGAATTAGGTCTTTGTAGTCTATTTTATTTTAATCATGTCATTGTAGTTTGATCAATTAAATATATTAGTTCCTAAAAGTTAAAATTCTTAATGAATGATTAACTTTTTCAAAATAAAGACACTTTTAAAATTTATATAAAATTTGGTCTAATGCTTTTAGCCAAAAAAATTTATTTACTACAATACTTATATTTTTATTTTTATTTTTAAATTCTATATGTATAAAAGTTATTTAGAAAACACAACCTAATTACATAAATTTTGAGTTATTAAAATTAGGTAATTAATATTAATTCTAACATTATATAATCTTTTAATAAATATATAAAAATCCTTAATTTCATTTTTTAAAAGGAAAAATTAAAAATTTTAACAACCAAATACTAAAATATTGAATCAATTAAACAACACGGACTTGATTAAAAAATAAACTAAAAGGACCTAATTGAAAATCAAGTAAAATTATAATGACTTGTAAATTAATTGTCACCTAATAATATTGGCTTCATCAACTTACCAAAATGCTCTTCTTCAATTGCACAATGAAGGATGGTGTTTTTGTCATCCCTTATTATACAGCCAGCATGGTCGGTTGAAGAGGGGTATCTCTCCATATAGAGATAATGAAGCCAAAGAAAAGCTCTTCTCTGGCCATAGAGAGCCGCCACGAAGAGGGGTGTCTCGCCGGCCTCGCTGCGTCTAGCAATTAAGGAGGGGTCTGCGCCGCCGATCTTCTTACACATTTCAACATTCCCAAGGGAAGCTGCTAAATGCAGAGGAGTGTTACCTTTCACATTGGCAGCCCCAAGGACGATGCTCCTCTCACTAGTCTCTTCATCATCCTCGCATACTAAGTCCACAATCTTTGCCACTGTCTCTGTCTTCAGAGCATTAATTGCCATGTGTAACACGGTGTCCCCTGTGTCTGCGATCCAAGCCGCACGAAGCCACCTGTCTTCCCTCAACATTTCAAGTACTTTTAACCACTTATCTTCCATGGCTGCACGACATAATTTGTTTTCCTTCTTTGCAGCTGCCTCCATGTCTCCTGAGGTGATTCAATTTGTCTCTTACAATACAGTTGACTACAACGACTATATGAAACAAGTGCATGTATCTAATATACATGCAAGGAAGGGTTTATACGCGCACAACACATGTATAGTGTACTTATCGCTTTTAATGCAGGGATTGCCCGGTTACCAAGTTATTCCGATCCAGAAGAATATGATGTTGAAAGGAAAAGAGAATGTTGAAACGTCATAGAAAAGTTTGAACAACAACGAGTTTCACGTAGAAAAATACAAATTATAAAATATTTGTCAACTAATATCAATATTGACAATATTAAATAAGGTCTAAATTCCAAATATTTGATTCCCGGGATCCTTATTTTGAGACGAGCATGCTCATCTTATCCACAATCTCGACACAATACAACAAAGTGTTTTTTGCTTTTGTACATCGTAAAACCGAATATTTTACATTAGATTTCAAAGTATAATAATTTTTAATTCAAGAAAAAGCTTTGATCTTAGTATATATATTTATGGAAGCCGAAAGGATCTTTTAGCCTGACATTAGAGAGAGATATATATATATATATATATATCTGTGTGTGTGGATGTATGTATATTTATATAATACATCTTCAGCGGGGCAGAAACTTTCCATTGCAGATGAAAAGTAAAATGTCATAATTCATATCATGTCCTCACGTTAATTGGTTAGAGTTAAACGCTTTCAAAAAAGGCAATGGAATCTCTAGTAATAAATAGCAAGACGTTGGGAGAGATGGAAATAATCAAACAGAAAAAACAACAAAAACTTACAATATAAAGATTTGAAGAAAAGATCGACGACGCCAATGAAATTAAACAAATCATTCAGAGAAGGAAAAGGGGGAAGAAGAAAGTTAGCAGAATGAATTTTACCTCAGATTAAGACAGAAGCCAATGAGACAGAATAGTATATCATGCTTTGCTTCCGAGTGCGTCATTGTACCGAACACTTGATCTGCGTAAAGAACTGAACGTCCCAAGTGAAAACGAAAGAAGAGGAAGAAAAAAGGAAGACTGAAAGTGAAAGAAGGAGAAGAAACGTATATCGATATCGAATAACGCATGCAAACACCGACTAAGCGAAGCCACAAGAGAGAGAGCCTTTGCTTGCTCTGACCACTTGGAATTTATCATTCAAGAATCAAATAGGCAGTGTAGACTTGTGTTTACAGGAAGTGAGGGGGAATCTCTTTTTTATGTGATGCTATATATATATAGTTATGTAGTATATTTAATTACTTTTACATTTATTGTAATTAAACATATGAAAATAATTTTTTTTCAATGGTTCTTTTATTTCAATTTTTAGGATTTTAGTCATTTAATTATACATAAGATTTTATTTTAATCCCTTAATTATATAAAATATTTTTTCAGTCTTGCATTATGCTCTAATTCTGGTGAGTCCCTGTGACCTGACTTACCTAAAATTTTTTTATATAAGAAAAATCTTACATTAAACTTTTAAATATTGACAAAATATTTTTAAATATTAACATATTAAGTTTAATTTTTAAAATAGAAATAATTAGCATTAAAAATAATCATTTGAGATTAAGAGTATTAGGATTAGAGGACTAAAAATATATTTTATAAAATTATAAGGTAAAAACTTATAGAAAATTAAAGGATTAAAAGTATATTTTAATCTAATTTTATTTTAGTTCTTTTTACTTTACAAACCAATGATGCATTATGGGTTTCCTTTAACATTAGCTGCATGTTTGTCATGGACAGTACTTAAAGTAGTACCCATTGTTTCAGCTAGACTTTGCGAAAACAAAACAATAGGTCTCATAGTTAATTTGAATGTATTTTGATTCTAGTTCATATGGTTTTATTTTGTTATGTATAGTCTCTTTAATTTAATCAGTTTGTAAACTTAGCCACTACAGTTTTAAAAATGCACATAATAACCATAAGCTGACATTGAAGGTAATTTTATCATAACTCTGCTAACTCATTCATTGATATGGTAAAAATATACTAATGACATGGAAATAAATTGATGAGGTGTGATTAAAAATAAAATGGTAAACAAGAAAAAAAGTTTCTTTTATATTGGCTAAAACAGAATGTAAAAAACAAATGCAAGATTTAGCATACGCCAAGAATTAACAAAGTTAAATACACAATAATAATAAACACCAATGTTGCAAGCGAATCAAACTATAGGGACTTGAAATAATGAAATAAAATTATAAGGACAAAAAACAAAATGCCCTCAAAATATGAGAATCTATTGTTATACTCCCTTCGTCCCAGTTTATAAGATATGTTTGAAAGTAATTCAATATTTCAAAATACAATACACTTTAATAAAAATAAGATTTTATTAATTATAATTGTTCTGTTATTACCCTTCCCTCCTTATTCTTTTTTCTGTCTCTCTTTATTTAATGCTTCACAAATATAAGATTATATTAAACAAATTATATTTTTGTTTTGAAAAAAATAAGATTGTTAGGTGATTATAATAAATTTTATTGGTATACTTAATTTTGTCTAAAAATGTCAATTGGGATAAATGGAGTATTTTCTTTTAGATTTTTTTTAAGTTACTTATTTGTTGAAGGGTTTTTTGTAAATCCCATTACAAATTATTTCTATCGTTTGTTGTCTTTTGTTCACGTGTATTCTTTCAATCGTTTGTTGGCTTTTGAAGCCTGTGGTAAGCTATTTACTTTGTTTTTATTGGACTTCATTTTTAATCATTTTTTTAAATAGAATTGGACATATTTATCCACATACCATATAGAATAAAAAATTAATCGAAGAAAGACAATTGACATAAATAAATAATGTAGAAAGGGAACTAAATAAAAAAATATTGAAATAATAATTGAAGTGGATCTAACGTAAGCGCAACACCGCTTAATATAGATTTCATATTTTATATTGATATCAATATTGATGAGGGTTCAAGTTTTACTTTGTTACCTTATATATTGTCTGTCTGTCTATCAGTTTCTTCAATCCCATCATTGTTTGCCATTTCTGTTGTAAGTTTCGTGGATACGGGGGAATTGCTTGTGATTCATATGCTCAATTAGGACTCTATATAGATAGGGTTGGATCGGGCAGAACCCTTTAGACAAAAAGTCGAGCCTGATGTCTGCACATACATGAAGTTAGAGGGGAGCGGGCAGGGTCAGGCAACTGGAGCATGCTCAGGCTGAATTGCCCAATTTGGTGCTTCAAATGACTTTTCATAAAATCAACCAAAAATATGAAATAATAACAGGCACAGGCACAGCAACCAATTACAATAAAAATAACAATAAATCCATAATAAGGATATTTTTTGGCCGAAGAAACCTTCAGTTGAACCAAAAAAAAAAAACAACAACCCAACAAAGCATCCACCATTCATGATTCAAGTTCAACATTCAACATTCCCTAATAAATAATGTCCACTTCCAGCCAGCAAGTTCAATATTCTCGGCTCTTGCCC